TTCAAAAGCATCTATATTCCCCTCAAGTTCTAGAGATCTTAGCTCCAAAATATATTTTGAGTCTTTCCATTTGTATCTGGCCCCACCGCCACCACCAAACAGGTAAGCCCCTAGAATTCTATAGTCTGCGGATGCAAATTAGGTCATATTAACTTTAATGCATATATTAGTTAGGATTAGTCTGGAACATCCTCCAAACTGGTTCTCCCACTTTCACTCTTGCCCCTGAGATCTGGTTTTCTAAAGTATGTCTGTTTTCCAGAGTATAAACATTTAAAAATGCAAACTAGTTCATGTCAATTTGCTGATTAAAATCCCTACCTATGTCCCTGCCATCATCTCTACCTCTCTTGCCTTGCTCCCTACACTCTGGCCACACAGACCTTTGGTTCTTATCTTGAAGAAAGCAGCTTTCTGCTTTCACATTCTACTAGCAACTCTCTTTCTTTAGATGCTTGCCTTCATGTCTCCCTCTCATCCTTCATGCCTTACTATAAATGCCACTTCTTGGCAAGAAGTACCAATCTTGACCAATCATCGACTAATCTAAAGTATATTTCCACCGTCCCCCTTCATTACATTTCCCTGTTTCATTTTCTTCAAGACACTTTTCAAAAGCTGAAATTATCTTAATTGCATATTTGTTAATTATCTGAGGACCCCCTCACACAACCAGAAGGTAAGTTATCGTTCTCTGCTTGCATTGCCAGAGCCAGTAGAGTACCTAACGCACAGTGGATGTCTATACAATAAGTGTTAAAGAATGAGTGAATGAATGCATCTCCCAAGGCATGGTGCTCAAAACTCCTTCTTCCTCCTTCTGTCTCAAAATGAAAAAAATCCCAACTAAATAACCTCAGAAAGAAGCACCAAATTAACTCTTCCACAAACAGCCAGCTTGAATTCCAGTTTCAGCTCAGCAAGTACACCAGTGAGGCTAATCTGAGATCTTTCTACATGTCTCCCAACTGTGATCACTGACCTACATGGCCTACACAGCACCATATAGCAGCCTCGATGGGATTTAGAGTCAGATTACATTCTTGAGGCAGAGACTGTCCGACACCCTGCTTTCTGGAATTCACTAAACTTTGGCCAGATAACAGGAGAGGAAAGTCCACTTAGAAGGGAATTTAATAATGTTTTCTACGTGCCAGGCCTCATTTCAAGAACTTTACATATGTGAACTTACAATGACTGAAAATTCTGTGCTATCATTATAACCAATTACAGATGAGGAACCAGAGACACAGAGAGGTGAAATAGCTTGCCTAATATTATACAGACAGTAATTCAAAGAGTTGGGATTTGAACTTCAGAAGTTTAGCTCCATATAACTCAATAGCAAAGAAACAAACAATCTGATTAAATGGGCAGAAGATCTGAATAGACATTTTCCCAAAAAAGACATACTGATGGCCAAAAGGTACATGAAAAATATGCTCGATATCATTAATCATCAGGGAAATGCAAATCAAAACCACAATGAGATATCACCTTACACCTGTTAGAATGGCCATTATCAAAAAGAGAAAAAGTAACAAGTGCTGGTGAGGATGTGGAGAAAAGGGAATCCTTGTGCACTGTTGGTGGAATGTAAATTGGTGCAGCCACTATGGAAAACAGTACGGAGGCTCCTCAAAAAATTAAAAATAGAAGTACCATATGATCCAGCAATTCCACTTCTGGGTATTTATCCGAAGAAAACAAAACACTAACTCAAAAAGATATAGGCACCCTTGTATTCACTGAAGCATTATTTACAATAGCCAAGATATGGAAACAACCTAAGTATCCATTGATGGATGAATAGATAAAGAAATTGTGGTATATATCACAATGGAATACTATTCAGCCATAAAAAAGAATGAAATATTTTGCAAAAACATGGATGTACCTGGAGGACATTATGATAAATGAAATAAGTCAGGCAGAGAAAGACAAATCATAGATACAGAGAAAAGACTGGTGTTTGCCAGAGGTGGGGGGTGGGGAGTGGGAGAAAAGGGTAAACTGGGTCAAAAGGTAAAAAGAAAAAAATGCCAACCACATAGCTGGTCATAAATATACATATTCAGGAGATCTGATGAATAAAAAAAATATATTGACCTTGTGCCTTATTTTCCTCATATTTAAATAGGAAGAAAATAAATTCATATTTACACTTCTGTTAATTGACATTTGGATTTCCCATTCTTTGGTAATTATAAACAACACTGCTGTGAACTTTTTTTAATATTTCATACTGCACTTGCACAAGAATTTCTATAGATAATATACTTTAGAAGAAGGTTTGTGGATCCTAGAGTACGTAACTTTATCTGGATACAAAACAATGTAATGTTGATTCCTAAAGTTAAGACTCTTATTTAGACTTTTATGAGTAGAGTTAACAAAGATGTAATTTCAAATTAGTGGGAAATGATGGGATATTCAATAAGTATTTCTAAGTAATTGATTATCCATTTGAAAGTAAATGAATTTGAATCCTTATCTTTCCTAGCACATAAAAACAAAAAAAGAAGGGGTTGGCCCTATAGCCTAATGGTTAAGTTTGGCACACTCTACTTCAGCAGTTCAGGTTTGCAGGTTTGGATCCTGGGCGTGGACCTGCACCACTTTTCAGCCATGCTGTGGTGACCACCAACATACAAAGTAGAGGAAGACTGGCACGGATGTTAGCTAACGGCAAATCTTCCTCAAGCAAAAAAGAGGAAGATTAGCAACAGACGTTAGCTCAGGATGAATCTTCCTCTGCAAAAAGCAAGCAAGCAAGCAAGCAAGCCAGCAAGCATGCAGCAAGAAAATCCCCATCAGCCTTCTGCTCAGGTCTCATTGACTTGGTCATCCCTGGGGAGTCTGGGAAGGCAAGTTTTCAGCTTTCCAGCTTCTAAGGTAGAGGAAGACAAAGGAAAAGGACTTTGGAATAAGCGTTCAGTGAGGGAACCTCAGGCATTCCATTCCATTCTGTAGGTTTAATGATTTATGTTGGCAGGGAAGTTCAGTAAAAAAAAAAAAAAAAAGAAGTTTAGCTCCAGAGTCCATGTTTTTAACCCTCATTACAAAGAAGATTTGGAAGATGGGGACCAGCCACAGGTAGTAAAAACAGGACTGGAAGAGACAGAAGTATGTTCTGAAAACCTCTTGGATTATACACTGAGAACATCTTACTAACCAAAAGGCAAATATGAAGTGTTCTGTCACTCTTTCTCAATCTTTGTGAACTTTTGAAAAGCTCTATTTGTTACAAGTTAAACAAATACAAATACAAATTTTGTTACCACCAGGTTCCAAAAGAAAGACCAATTCTTCATGGTACCAGTGAGGCTTGAAAGAGAAATCAGGAACTAATTCTGTGTCCTCTGACTAAATCTTGGACCCTGCTCAGTGCGACTCTTTGTCTTATTTAGTAATCTGTCATACGGCCTTAAGTAAGTCATATCACCTCAGAATGCTTTTCTTTCCTCATTAGGGCCAGTGAAGCACACAGACTGAGACACCAATTCCAAACTCAGACCAGTGACATTGCAGCTACTACCTACGTGACCTTGGACGAGGTCGATATTACTTCAGGAAGCTTGTTTTCTCATCTTTTAAAGTTGAGATAATGCCCACTACAGAAGGTTATAGTGAGGATTAGTAAGATAAAATATGTAAATTTTTGCCATATAGTAGATGCTTGATAAATATTTTTATTCCAAATATTATAATATATAATATTTAGTTTTTTCTTAGAAAACAGACCTTACCCTCAGTAAACTTACTAAGAGACATAGATTAGGTAGACATAGATTCTCATTTATTAACTGCTATTTCTTTGGGAGCTCCTAGGCACAAAGGCAAAGTGTCTTAAGGCAATTATGTTTCAGTTGGGACAATGAGAGCTGCACATTCTATCTACATTAAGAACTAGACAGTGGTAAATATTTTAAGTGAAGGACAGCCATGAGTATTCAGAGAAGGAAGAAATTGCTTTCACCTCCACGAGGTGGGACACCGAATAGAGAAAGGGCATTTGCGCTAAATCTGGATGTCACTAAAGAGTAGTTTTTCTCTGCATAGCCAACAGACTAAAATAATTACTTTGCCCTCTGTGGGATGCTTCATCACTTTGCACTACTTTATTATTAAATTTATATCAGATTGTAATTCTTGTTTCTGTCTCCTACGAATTGTGCGCTTCTGGATGGCAGGGACTGTCTTATCACCACTGCATTTTCTAGCACTTGATTCAAGGAACAACTATAATAGTGAGAGAAATCACAGAAAGGCTGTTTTGGTTTTCGGTTTAGTCCAACGTTGAGTGTGGCTCTGGAGTCTGACTGATTTTCACTTCAGGCTGTGCCTTTTACTTGGCTCGGGTAAGTGACTTTTAAGGTTGACAGATAAAATACAGGACGCCCGGTTAAATTTGAATTTCAGATAAACAACTAATAATTTGTTAGTGTAAATATGTCCCATGCAATACTCTGCCCAGTATTTGAGGCACACTCATAACAAAAGACTTACGTTATTCGTTGTTTATCTTAAGTTTCATATTTAACTGGGCGTCCCGTATTTTTACTTGCTAAATCTAACAACCTTAATGACTTCTCTACTTTTGTTACTTGGAAATGGGGAGGAAAATAATACCTTCTTCTTAGGATAATCTATATAAAGCATTCCACGCACAGTAAATCCTTAATTTACCTTCCAAATCAGGACACTTTAGTAAGAGACATGCCAAACCTCCGGGACAGTGGCCCCGAGGGCACCCCAAAATATCATTACCCTTATCAGACGGCTTTCTAAAGAGTGCAGAGGAAGGTCAATAGAACTCTGAAAATTTTGCAAAATGCTTTGAGAGATTTGCAAATCTACTTTCAATAAAATAGTTTAAGAGTGTTTACACAACGTCCCACCAGGCAGAAAACGATGCCCCTTAGTTACAAGGAGAGCGCTAGCAGCGTCTCTGCGCACGCGCACAGGGGCCCCTGCATCTCCCCGCCCTGTCCCCGCCCTTACCAGCGAGAGTCACGTGGGCGAGCCATCTCGAAGGAGGAGCGGCCCGGGTCTTGTCACGTGACCCCGGCTCTGCTTCGCACAGGGATGGAGCCGGAAGAGGGGACGCCCTTGTGGCGGCTGCAGAAGCTTCCAGCCGAGCTGGGCCCGAAGGTGAGGAGGGTGCGGTGTTGGCGGCGCGGGGCCGGGGCGCCGGGACGGCCTGGCGTGCGGGACTGGCCGGGTCAACCGGGACGCCGTGGCTGGGCTCGCTTGGGCTGGCAGGGGAAGGGAGGGGGAAGGGGAGTGATTTCGGGTGGCCGGCCCCCTGCTTCCCCTAGAGAGCCGAGGAGCCCTAGGCTTGGGGTGCCACCTCCGCCCCCCGGCTTGGAGTTGTCCCTTGAGGGGCCTTGCGCGCAGACATGCCCCCGGCCCACGCGCGGCCAGGGACCCAGGACCCTGGGCTGGGGGCGGAGCTGCCACGTAGACTTTGGAAACTTACAGCGTGGAGTCGGCGGTTTGCAGCCTCTCATTTACGTTTCATTCATTCATCCAACACGTACCTCCCGAATGCTCTCTATGCACCAGGCATGGTCCTAGGTTCTGGGGACACCGTGGTGACCTAGAGAAGGATATCCTGCCCCCTTGAGGGCGACAGAAAAAAAAATTGATAAGTGCTACCAGTAACTGGGCGCCTTACTATAGGTAGGGTGGCCCAAGGGGGCCTTTCCCTCAAGAGGTTGGCACCTCAAGTCTGAGAAGGAACCTGGCTGGTGAGAATCTGAAAAAAGCAGCCTCATTCGTTGGTGCAGCCAGTTTTCGTTGAAGTCTGCTGTGTGCTGAGTGCCCTGATGGGAAAAGGTAAACTGGTGAATGAGACACAGCCTGCGCCCAGGCGGAGCTTGCTGTGTAATAAGGTAACCAAACCGAGTTATCCAGGAATGAGCTTGGACAGGTAGCAGCCCACATTTGAAGGGGCAAGGGAAGGCTTTCCAGAACGGGAGAATCCCGATTTCTAGGTTGAGTCCTGAAGGCTGAGTAGGAACCAGATAGGCTAGAGGGGAGAGGGTGTTTCAGGCAAAGGAATAGCAGCTACAGAGGCTACAAGAGAGCCAGTCCTCGGGGGCTTTGAGGACCCGCTGTAATTCTGAGAGGCTGAAATACAGAGTGAGCAGCAGAGCAGAGAGACTAAAACTAGACAGCTGAGCAGGAGTCAGGTGGCTCAGTCTTTATATGTCACGCTGGTGTGTTTGGCCTTAACGCCAAAGGCACTGGCAGGTTAAAGTGTTGTTTCTGGCAGCAAAATTTTAGTGAGTTTGAAAGATGAAATGTGGAGACAGTAAGTACATATAATAGTATCTCGGCTGTGAACTGTGAAAGGAAGCAAACCCAATGGTTACCAAAAGAGGAAAATCTGAGAAGTGTTTTCTCCCTTGAACTTTCAAGCAAAAAACTTTAGTGCCTTAAGTATTAGACGGGAGGGAAATTTGTCTACCCCTGAAAGAAAGCAATATGGATATGCAGAACTGAGCGGCGGCGTTAGCTCTGGGAGCGGTGGTTCTGTTTGCCTTCTGGCTTCAGCTTACTAACACTTTGTATTGTAAATAATATGTTAATATGTTGACTTCTGCCTCCTCTGTCCTCCAACAATTCAGGCCTCATTAAGCCTTCCTTGAACACAACTGCTTAACTGGCTGGCTTGCCTTTGGTCTCGCTCTCATTCTGAACTCCTTCGGGGTACATTGTTTTATGTCCCCAGTTCTTGAGAGTTTGTCTGGCTCAAGGTGGGTTCTTAATTAGTGTTTGTGGAAGGAAGGAATCAATGCGTACTAAACTCAGCTTTATCCCGGGGGGCAGTTATCTGCATCCTAAGCTTTGGTGGGTTGGCCTTCAGTGTCATCGATAGGCAGTTTTAAATAAGTCATATAAAAATTGACTATAGTGGAGCCATTTTAAGTGGAGTCAGAGCTGCCTTTCCAGAGAAACTGCTTTGCTGTCTGGAACCTTGAGCTGGGCCAAACCTTTGGACTGGGCCAAAATGGCAATTGTGTTACAAGCAATTGTTTGAAAAGTCAGCAGGAGAACAGACATCCTGGTCACAAAGACTGAGGATGGTGGATTTTGGAAGATAGAATCACTAGTCAATCAATGTTTAGCCAAGACTAGCTCTCTGCCTCCAACTCCAATTAAAATTCCTTGTAATACAATCTCCTTTCTTTGCTTTTATAAGCCCCTGACTTTTACTCCCTAGCAGGACACGTTTTGGGTTTCTACCTGAATCTGTATCTCCCGAATTACAATTCTAATTGCCCCAATAAATATCTGCTGTTTTAAATTGTGGTGATTTTCACCTTGGTTGATAGTGCAACTTCTATTCCATTTACCATGGGTGAAGGGTGGGGTTGGGGGCTTAGCCTACAGAATGGTATCAAAGGGTATGTGGTAGGTAGCTTTTTAAGTCCCTAATCTTGGCCTGCCTTTTTGCTTTATTCCCTTTATGAAGTATGGGGGAGGTGGAAGGGAATTAACTTACTTAATTCCTACCAGGATCAAGAAAAACCATCTTACCTCTTTTCTCTGATTTTACAAATGGGGAAACAAATGTCAGCAGAGGGTTTGAGTAACTTGCCGAAGGTTGTCAAACTAGTAAGTGGCCAAGCTGGCACATGTGGTACATCTTGACTGTGAGTCTTGTGTGTTAGTCTTCTGTTCCTGTGTTCATTCTGCCTACTGCTTAGATAAGGCCGGCAACCCTTACCGCCATGTATGTCGATGACTCCTAAATCTCTGGATCCGGCCGAAAATCTCTTCCCTGAGTGTCAGGCTTCTGCTTAGATACACCACAGGTACCTCAGATTCAGTGTGTCCTTGCCTGAGCTCCTCATCTTTTGCCCGTGAGTTACTCCTTTTGTGGCTGTAGCCTCATTTTCAGTTTGTGGCACCACCACTTACCCAGTCACTCAGCCTGAAATTCTGAGTATCATCCATGCTCCCTCCTCCTTTTCATGTCTCTTTTACTTCTCTACTGCCTCATTTTGGGCGTCCTCAACAATGTGGGCCCCCTTAATCCTGCTGGTAAACTGAAGATGGGGGCCTTTGGGCTCACCTTCTATTTCCCTTTTCTCTCCTTAGATCTCCCGACCTGTTGTCAGATTTATGGAAAAATAATGCAAATATGTGAAAAGGTTGCTTCCTTGTTGAACACAGATTAAAGTCTAGGCTCTTTGGCATTGTGTACAAGGCCCTTTATGATTTGGCCTGTGCCCACCTCTCCATCCTTGTATCCTGTCATCCCCCAGGTTGAGCCATATGATTTCATGTGCATCCTTTGCATATGCAGTTGCTTGTGACTAGAATGCCTTTCTCTTCTGTTTGACTGGCCAACTACTCATCTTTTTAAGATAGACTTTCCCCTGCTTCCTCTCTGCTCCTTTGTACCTTCTGTAAACTTGTATTCTGACTCCTATCACTCTTAAGTGCATTTATTTATTGATATGTTTGCCTTTTGCAAATGAACTAGGACTCTGGTATGGTAGGACCTTGTCTTATTTATCCTTAGTTTCCTCATCTGTAAAATGGGGATAACGGTACTTACTTCATAGGGTTGTAGTGAGGAGATCAGCAGTGTTTGGTACACAATTGGGGCTCCATAAAAAGTAGCTATTATAGTTATTTTTTGTTTATATTTCCATTAACTTGTTTAATAACTGGAATGAAGTGCTCACTGCATATTCGTAAGTGAAGAAAAAACATTTATATTCCAAAAAAGATAGCACTTTTATTTTTCTGTTTGAGTTCTGGGTTTTGTTTTAGCATGGGGACACTTTGGGAAAAGGTGGAATATATGTAGAGAATTTTGAATGAATTTCAAATTGAGAATGTTGGTGGATTTATGGTACATAAGAACTCTCTTCATATAGAGCATTAGCCGTGGTTGGAAGTGGGGTCACCAGTTGCTCCTCTCTGTGCTGATATAGGTGGTGTTATAGAGGAGTTACTGCTTAAAATGGAGTAGAATATGATCCAAGGGAAACGAGTTAGAAGGCTTGCTGCTTAAAATGGAGTAGAATATGATCCAAGGGAAACGAGTTAGAAGGCTTGCTGCTTAAAATGGAGTAGAATATGATCCAAGGGAAACGAGTTAGAAGGCTTACTGCTTAAAATGGAGTAGAATATGATCCAAGGGAAACGAGTTAGAAGGCTTGCTGCTTAAAAGCATTTCCAAGTTATTTGGGTTCAAATAGTCTTCTTAGAAGACACAAATATCCCCTGAGAAAGAAAACCATATTAATCATTTGCCTAGAATAGTGCTGGCATGGTAGGTACTCAGTGTATGTTAAAGGCATGGAACATAGTGCTAGTAGGAGTAGTAATAGTGATGATAATAATAAGAAGAATGATAACAGTGGCTGGCAATGTTTAAGTGCTTTGTACCTGCCAGGAATGTGCCAAGAGATTTGCATGGATTCTTATTTAATCCTTACAGCAACGTTATGGGGGTAGGTGATATCCTCATTTTACTCATGAGGAAACAGAGGCACAGAACACTTAACGTGGTAAAACTAGTTAAGTAGTCGAACTAGGATTCACACTGGTTAGTTTCATTCCAAAATCCAACGTCTTAATCACTATGTTCAGTTATATGTGTGTTAGGATTTCCATTGCTGATATTGAGGTAGGATAGAGAAAAAGAAATGTAAAAATGGAGAAGAAAGGTACTGTTGACTTTGTTGGGGTGGACCAAAAGAAGTATGAATGTAGTGAAAAATGGAGGCAAGGCAAAATGAAGTTTGTAGATCTCCAGTAAAAGACTTGAGTTGTACCTTTTTTTTGGTTATTGGTATAAATATGATGTCTAAGAAATCCCAAGGTGAAACTTTTATACTCACCACTTTCCTTTCAGGAACATTGGGGAAACAGTGTATCTTTAAAATTATTTTCGCTTCTGAAGGTGGACAAAATTATAGAAAGTCTGGCTTTTTTTGTGACTCTTTAACTTTGAATTAATAGAATAATGTTAAAAATAGTTACATTTCAATCTCATTTGCTCTTGTGGTTAACAGGAACTTCTCCCAACAACATTTGTTTGCTCCAAGGAAGATAAAGCGGTTTAATAATTTTACTTATAATTACATTTATTTCCTTTTTTCTCTCTAGCTTCTTCACAAAATAATTGATGGCATTTGTGGCCGAACTTATCCTGTCTACCAGGATTATCAGAGTGTTTGGGAGTCAGCAGAATGGATGCATGTTCTAGAAGATATTACCAAATTTTTCAAAGCTGTAGTTGGTAAAAATTTATCTGATGAAGAGGTAACTTCACTCAAAATTTCTGTACCTTATAATAATAATAATAAAAAATAATTAGTGTTCAGATTTTTTATTAAATTGGTCTTTAGGCCCCGTATAATACAAGGGCCATTATCAGTAAGTATATATTGTATAGCAAGAAAAACTTCAAAATCCTAAGTGGAAAATCTGATAGTAGAAGTTCTGGGTGTCTGTAATTTTGTTTTTGGTTGTTTGTATTTTTTTAGTTGTGAAACATTTAAATCATATAGAAGAAAACTGAAAGTTATATAACCAACACCTCTGTTCTCGTTACCATAATTAAACAGTTGTTAACATTTTACTTTATATATGTCATGTTTGTGTGATTGTTTTAGAAACAGAGCATTACAGATATACCTAAATACCACCGGGTACGCCACCCTCCCCTAGAGATCACCCACTTGTGAACTTGGTGTGCATGTTTTGTATTCTATATTGTATGAACACGTACATCTTTAAGCAATATAGACAATTATTTGAGCTGTTTAAATGTGTAACTTGTAAATGATAACAATGTATCCATTTATAATTTGTTTTTTTAAGGCAACATTGTGTTTTAGATTTACCAATGTTGATAAATGTAAATCTGGTTCATGTATTTTAACCGCTTGTAGTATCTGATGATAGAAATTAGTGGGACTTATTTTTCTGTCCCCTACTGATGAACAGTTAGGTCATTGTTTCTTTGCTCTTTCATTATTACAAATAGCGTTGCTACAAACATTTTGTATGTGTCTCCTTGTACCCACATGGGCCAACTTTCTCAGAGGACATCTTGAAGTGAAATTGCAGGATCATGGGGTATTCTTCCGTTGAATTGCCTTTGTACATTTGTCAGAAATCATTTGGGCGTGTTTGTGTAGGTTGCCCACTTTTTTAAAAAATGGAATTATGTGTTTTTCGTTTTGATTTGGGTGATATTCTGGATATGAGTTCTTTGTTAGATGTATGTATTTTATATCTCTTTTATTATGTCACTTGCCTTTTTACTCTGTTAATGAACAGAAGTTCTGAATTTTACTCAAGTCCAGTTTGTCAGTCTGTCTTTAATGGTTAGTGCCATTAGTGCCCTGTTTAAGAAATATTTGTGCCAAGGTCATGAAGATGTTTTTGTATGTTTTCTTCTAGAATCTTGATTGTTTTAGCTTTCAAATTTATGTCATTGATTCATTTTGAATTAATGTTTTTATATGGAGTAGGGGTCAAGTTCAAATTTTTCCAAATGAATATCCACTTGACCTAGGACCATTTATTGAAATGACCATTCTTGCCCCATAGAATTGCTGTGCAGCCTTCATTGTAAATCAGGTGACCGTATGTATGGGTCTGTATCTGGACTCTTTATTCTGCTCCATTGGTCTGCTTTTCTATATTTGCTGATACTATACTCTTAGTTACTGCAGAATTAAAGCTGCATTACGTTATGTAAGTTTTGATATCTGATAGTAGAAGAACTTCAACCTTCTGCTTCTTGAGGATTGCCTTGGTTATTCTAGATCCTCTGTATTTTCACATGCATTTTAAAATCAGCTTGTCAATTACAAGCAAAAAACTTGCTGGAGTTTTGATGGGAAGTGTTAGTCAGCTTGGGCTGCGTAATAAAATATCATAAAGTGGGTAGCTTGAACAACAGGAATTAATTTCTCACAGTTCTAGAGGCCAGGGAGTCCAAGATCAAGAGGCTGGGTGGTCAGTTCCATACTGAGGGCTTTTTTCCTGGCTTCAGATGGTTGCCTTGTAGCTTTGTCCTCACATGGCCCCAGGGAGAGAGACAGAGAGCAAACTCTCTGGTGTCTCTTATAAGGGCACTAATACCATGCCCCATCCTCGTGACCTCATTTAAACATAATTACCTCTCAAAGGCCTCATTTCCAAGTATCTTGGGGGTTAGGGTTTTAACATATGAATTTTGAGGGGACACGGTTAAGTCCATAGCATGGGGATTGAACTGAATCTCTAGATCATTTTGGGGAGAATTGACATCTTAACAATATTGAGCCTTCTTATCAATGAACATGGTATAACCTTCCGTTTATTTAGAATGGCTTCAGTTTCTCTCTAATGTTTTGTAGCTTTCAGTGTAGAGGTCTTGCAAATATTTTTTTAGATTTATTTCTAAGTAACTGATGTTTCTGATGTTCTTTAATTTTGTTCTCTGATTGTTTATTGCTAGTGTGTAGAAACAAAGTTGATTTTTATATACTACTCTGTGTCCAACAATCTTTCTAAATTTACTTACTATATCTAATAGTTTATAAAATTTCTTTTGGATTTTTTTGAATGCAGTAATTTTCTTTTTCAATTTTAATACCTTTAATTTCTGTTTTCTTCCCCTTATTGTACTGGCTAACGCCTTCAGGACAGTGTTGGGGAAAAAAGCAGCACCTTGTTCCTGACCTTAGGGAGAATGTGTTCACTATTTCATCATTCAGTATGTTCGCTGTGTCATTTTATAGATATCCTTTATCAGATGAAAGAAATTTCCTGCAAATCCTGCTTTGCTGAGAATTTTTATCATTACTGAGTATTGAATTTTATCAAATGCTTTTTTCCTGAATTTATTATTTTTCACCTTTATTTTGTTAATGTGGTGCCTCACATTGATTTTTGAGTGTTAAACTAACCTTACATTGCCAAAATAAATCCTACTTGGTCATGATGTATTGTCTTTTTTTATATGTCTTTTGATTTGATTTGCCAATATTTTGTTTAGGATTTTTATCTATATTTGAGTGATATTGGCCTATGATTTTTCTGTCCTATAATGTCTGTGTCAGAGTGTCAAGTTTTATTCTGGTCTCATGGAACGAATTAGGAAGTATCTTTTTTCTTTTTCTCTGGAAGAGTTTGTGCAAGATTGATTTTGTTTCTTTCTTCACTTAGTACTGTGTTACCGTCTTGCTTAATTTGAAAATATTTGGAAAAATTTTTTATCTGTTAGGATTTAATTACACAGTGGCCCAAAAATACAGAGTCTGGTTCCAGTTCTTCGAAATTTGTTGTGACTTGCCATATAGCTTGGGATGTGGTTCATTTTGGTGAATGTTCCATATACATTTGAAAACAATATGTGTTATACAATTGTTGGATGTAGTGTTCTGTGTGTAGATTAGGTTAAATAGAATGAAAGTGTTTTTTAATTCTATATCTACTGATTTTTTTGTCTCTGTCACTTACTGAGAGGTTTGTTAACATCTCTAATTATGACAGTAGATTTACCCAGTTCCGCCAAGTTTTGCTACTTTATATATTTTGAAGTTATGTTATTAGGTGCACACAGATTTCTGGTTGTTATATATTTCTGTTGAGTCACCCTTTTGCCATCCTCCTCTATTTCTTGTAATACTTCTTGCCTTAAAGACTGTTGTCTGATATATTAATATAGTCATACCAGCTTTAGTGGTCCAAGGATGCACTCACTTTCATGCTGCTTCATCAGTCAGCCCTTTTCCTTTACTTTCTGTTTTGCAAAAATTTGTTAAAACTTCTTGTTTGCTGGTTGTATATTCTCATCTGTTCTTTTCATAGTTAGAGAAGTATTTCTCTTTTTTTTTCATTTACTACCATTTTAAATGGTATGTGAAAGGAGAATGGAACTATGTATATTTTAAATAGGAAGGCCCTTTCCCTTATTTCCTAAACATTTATTTTTGTTTTCATAGGTATTTCAGCAATTGAGTCAGTTGAATTCATTTCATCAAGAAGCTATCATGAAATGCTTGAAAAGTAGGAAAGACGAAATCAAGCAGGCTCTGTTAGAAGAAATAGTTGATATTTCCTCTGCACAGCTACAAGATTTCGATTGGCAGTTAAAGGTGAGAATCTATTTATTTATGAATGTGTATGTTTTTTAACTTCATTTTTGGGATAGAAAGAAGTATTTATTTTTTGCAATGTATATATCTAAAATTTCTGTTCTTTTGAGAATACATTGTCCCAAAAAAGTATCAAGGATAATTAAAATGACATTTTCTGCATTAATTTGGACATCAGTACACTACAAACCGTGTGTATAGACATTACAATGATAATAAGTTCAATTAAATAGAACTGTAAATGATTAAATGTCATAAGTAGTGGAGGAGTATGTGTGTATATATTCAACATTTTATGTTTGGCTAGAATTTTATAGACTTTATAGTCTTCCCAAGATTGGTAAATGTCATTCTACCTCAGGGGAAATCTATAATGTGTTATTAAAACAGCACTTAAGAAACATTTTGAAAAGAGAGTCATAATCAGTAGGGTGCATAAAGAACAATTTCACACCAACTTTCCATCCTCTGTAGGGTACCTAGACCTAGATGAGGAGAAAACAAATGCATTGTGTTTCTTGATTTCAGCATGACCCTGGATAAAGTGGGGAAAAATGTAGAAAAATAATACAGTCAGACGGAGTCATAAGTGGATAAATAAACAAATCCGGATGAATTTGTGTTAGCTCAGAAAGAGGTCTCAATGATTCTGGTCTTGGCCCAGTCATCTTCAACATTTTTATGAGTATTATGCTTATCAAATCTGAGGGTGACACAAAACTAGAGATCTATTTAATATGTCATATAATACAGTCAAAATTTAAAATTATTTTATAGCACATTTCAGTGGTGGACCAAATAAAGCAAAATAAACTAAGCAGAGATAACCTAAGTAGAGGATTTTTCATTTAAATAAAGCAAAGGATAAATATAAAAGATATGAGAGATATGCTAATAGTAGCATATATGAGAAATATTTGGTTGTTTTGATTTACCAAAGTGTAGCTTGAGTCAGCAGTATGTTTCAGTCTTATGTTTCATTGGTAGAAATTCTGTTCCAAGCAAGGGGTAGCAGTTCTAATATAGTGTGTTTTCAACTCTTAAATCTTTTTAGTTTGTTTAGTTGGTTTGATAATCCTTTTAGTTCTGGCTGCCAAACTTAAGACGTACTTAAGCAAGTTGGAGCCCAAGTGGAAAGAATGACCAGGAACTTAAAATCATGGTACATGAAGTTGCTTTGAAACACCTGGAAGAGAGAAAACTTAGTAGAAATATAACAGTTATCTTTAAAGGACTAAAAGTCATGTAGATGAAGGATTATATATATGCTTTATGGCTTCAGGTGGTAGGACAAAGGCCTAAAGTATATGATTTGCAATAAGATGGGTTTAAATTGAACCTAGGGAAGAATTTTTGTTTTGTTTTGTTTTCTGAGGAAGATTAGCCCTGAGCTAACATCTGCTGCCTATCCTCCTCTTTTTGCTGAGGAAGACTGGCCTTGAGCTAACATCTGTGGCCATCTTCCTCTACTTTATATGTGGGACGCCTACCACAGCATGGCTTGCCTAGCGGTACCATGTCCACACCCGGGATCCGAACCACTGAACCCCAGGCCACCGAAGGGGAACATGAGAACTTAACTGCTGTGCCACCGGGCCGGCCCCAGGAAGAATTTTTTAAAAACTATGAGTATCTGAAAATTATTTTAACCTCTTCTTGAGTTACCACACTCCCCATCATTGGTGGTATTCAAGCATAGGCTGAGAAACCATTTATTGGAAATATTGAGAAGGAGAATTATCCAAAAGGTAGACAACCCAAAGGTGATATTTCCAAATCTCAGAGATTTATGAGTTGCTTTTTTGGAGAAAGAAATCTAAGGATTTGATTCTATGGTCTGTGTACCATAAGGGAGATGCTTTGAGGTTGGTTGTTTGGGAAGGAGCCTCTTACGGTTGCCCAAGTAAATTTTTGCAAGTAGGAGTACTCCAAAGATTCAGTTATTCTTGGGTTTTCTGGCTCAGATTCCAGGAAAATTGAATTTCCCTTTGCCATCTGACAATGAATCAATAGTGCTTATTTCAAAAAGTATTAGCGTCATAAATATTTGGTTCTTCCATTTCCTGTAGGATACTCTTTTTAGACAGAAAGTGGAAAGAGAGGTAAATATGTTGAATGTTTTTGTCAAGTGGCTCTAATTGAAGATGGCTCTGTCTTGGTTGCATATTTATCAATACTTTAGTAGAGAGTTAGCTGATCATGAATGAAGCATCTTAATTTCTTAGAGTTTACCAGTGGTTTTAGTATCTTTGGAGATGGACTTCCATCCTGTAGGTATCTTTACACTTATTTAAGAATTCTCCCTGTTTCTTGCTGCATTGGACCCATTCAGTACTTCCCAGCCGTAACTCTGCTCTGGATTCCTGCTTCTCCCACAGAGTGCTGGCTTACTGTCTTTTTTCCCTAACCTACTTCCCCTCGTTTATTTACTCTCTTCTCTCTTTCTGTTCAAACATGTGTTGGTTTGGCATGGGTTTAATTTGTTTATTTCTTCTACCTTTCCCTGTACTTGATAGCAAACAGGAGTACTCTTTTTTTTTTAATGTATTGTTAGTAAGCTCTGATGCATATTTAATATAGTCCTTTTTATTACTTATTAATTACTGTTTTCCTCATTTTAAATAGCTTGCACTTTCTAGTGACAAGATTGCTACATTACAAATGCCACTTTTAAACCTTCATCTAGATGTAAAAGAAAATGGTGAAGTCAAACCATATTCTGTTGAAATGAATAAAGAAGAGCTGCAGAATCTAATAAATTCCTTGGAAGCAGCTAATAAGGTATTTGTTTTAATTTTGTTGTACAGCTAATAAGGTATTTTGATTTTCTTGTACAGTTTAAAGTGTTTAAGTTTTGATTGACAACATCAGAGCAATGTAAGAAGAACGCGTAGTTCACTTTTATTGTTTCTCTTTTTCCTGATATTTTTTGTCAAGCACAGAAAATACTTGTAGGTGTATTCTGCATCTCTATTTTTAGATATTCAATGAGTTATAACTTATTTTAGTTACTAAGTTTTGAGTGTAACTTATCAAGTAGTTATTTTTGAAAAAAATAATAGTGCTTTTGAAAAAAATAAAAGTGCTGTTGTAACTGCTAGATTGTTTTTGCTCTGGTACTCATTAATGATAAAAATAAAATGTTTACCTTGAGGCTGTGAAATTAGTTGATTCTGAAGAGTTTTTATGATTTAAAATGGTTGTGACTTGAAGAAAAATGTGTCTTATTTAACTAGACAAGTAGAAAAAAATTACTTTTATAATCCTCAAAGTATGGGAGACAAAATATGGCTTGTAGTTATGACAAAATCAGGTTGAGACAAAATAGAATTAGTGGATGACTAAAAACTTTACATTTACAAAGGAATGGCTAAGTAACAGTAACCACTCATAGGGTTTAATTAATGAGAACAGTAGAAACTGCTGCTGTGAGAAAGAAAGAAAAATAATGATCTGTGTGTACATACATTCCTTTCATTATTGCTAGCATTTTCTCCAGTGATCTAGTGTCAATGGTTAAAGTCAGTTATTCTTACCAGCCTCTCTTGCTACTAACCAGTCTTCTTGGGTCTGCCTCTTTTAAACCCTGGTATACTTCAGCTTCCCTCCATATTCTGCAGTTACTCAAGCCATTTTGGTGCTTTCCTGACTGGGCCACATGCCCAGTAACCAAACTGGTAGCCTGGCTTACCTTTGGCTGGGGCTAAATGTCTGACGGGGTGTGTGGAAGAGCCTGGTATAAATGACAGATGATTCTGAACCATAGATCCTGGCAGGCACATGCCATGAGTTACTGTGCATTGTCCTTGCTTGTTATCAGTTCTGCAGGCCCTTCTTCAGAGATTTCAAAGCATTTCATTTAGCAGATATTGGCATCCTTCTGGTCTAACCTGATTCCTCTCTCCCCCCGCTTTATGTTTTAAGGTGGTCATGCAGTTGAAATAACTGGAAGTAGTGAATACCAACACTCAGATTCCACTGCTACAACTGATACGGCAGAGCGAATACTGTGTGTTCAGAAAACCTGTGATGTGCTGACTTATTACGCCAAGCTGAGAAAGCAGCTGCTTTGAGATCAAAGATAAAAATTTGTCAACGTATCTAAGGAACAGGAAATTACATGGTTGCCAGGAAATGCATAAAAAATGAAAAAGCTATAATAGCTGTTTATATTTTTGTAATGACTTTTGCCTCATTTATTAAATATTTGAGAAATCTTTATAGCTATAACAGTTTTATTGAAAGCTAAAAATAGGCTCTAAAGTAATGTAAACATACAAAGCACAAATATACTTGAATATTGCTTAAAGAAGTATGTGAATAGCAAGGACATGTATTATGGATATATATGATTAATTTGTAATGTTTTTAAAAAATAGCTTTTAAAGAATGTGTAAGCTGCATATGTAACTCAGGAGATTCCATATCTTTCTCATATTTCAAAGGAAAGATTATAAAATGCAAAATTTCTTAGAGAAAGAAGCTCTTCAGATATGAACAAGAAAAAATAATCAAGTTTATTGGAACAGTTTTGAGTTTATGAATTTATGAATTCTAGAAACTAAATTCTTATACTTGAACACAGAAAAAAGTGAAAATAACACTGTTACTTCTGCATTTCTATGTTTGGTTGGGAGAGTGTGCTCTGATGAAAAAAGAAATGGATACCAATGTATAGTGTATATATTACTATTCATATATTAGCCAAGAATGCATATAGGTCCATTTTTGTTATAAACTCTTAATATTGAATTTAACAGTTTTGGATGTTAACAACTTCATTGGAGAAACAAACCATTTTTAATTTCAGTTTAAAAATGCATTCTGAACAAATAAAAAATGTTCTTTTATTTTTATATGTTGTTTTATTTCAGATGACTTTCTACATAACGCAACAATACATGATTAATTGGTACCTGCCCTTTGCAACTTTACAGCTCATTAGAGCATCAGGCTATTAGTTGAGGTGTCCAGAGCAGTTCATACTATTCTCATCCTGCAGATGAGGATAGGCTTACAGAGGTTAGTAAATATGTGAGTGTGGTCTAGACAGTGCTGCTCAAAGTGTATCTGTAGACTAATGCCCGCTTATGGACTGTTTGTTATAGGTTGGTGATTAGATAAGGAGCTTATGCTTGAATGTTATTCAATGTACTGAGCAATTTTGGTTATGAAAAAAAAATCAGCTGAACTAAACGGCGTGCTTAGAGAGGTGCAGGTTCCTTCTGTCATTATGGACCAGTAATGGTTTGCAGACCAGCACTTTAAAAATACTGATCTAGAGATCCCTTTTGAATTTCAGCCCTCCATGCAGTACTGCCTTTGAGAAGGAAAAAATCTGGCTCTGCTTATTTCCCTCATCACGTGTTATCGCTGTATTAGCGTATTTAACCCCTTTATTGAAATCTAATTTCAGTATACTGCACTATGAACTGCACATATTTAAATCTGATAATTTGGCCACGTTTACACCTACATACACCTATGAAAGCATCACCTCAATCAAGATGATGAACATATCAGTCATTCCTGAAAGTTTCCTCCTATTCCTTTGTAATCCCTGCTCTTGCGTCTTTCCCCCACCCAGGTAACCACTGTCTGCTTCCTGCTACTGTAGATTGTTTCACATTTTTGAGAGTTTAATATAAATGAAATCAGACACTATGTGCTCTTTTTTTTTTTTTGTGATCTGGCTTTCAGCATTAGTTTGAGTTTTGTCTATGTTGTTGCATGTATCACTAGTTCATTCCTTTTTATTATTGAGAAGTATTCTGTTGTAGAGTTCTATCTTAATTTGTTTATTTATTCGCCTGTTAATGGATATTTTGGTTGTTTAAAATTTTGGGCTGTTATAATACACGGAATGCTCTAAACATTCTTCTATCTGTCTTTGTATGGACATATGCTTTCTTTTGAGTAAATACTTAGGAGTGAAATGGCCGGAACATATGGTAGGTTTATATTTATCTTTTCAAGAAACTGCCAAACTGTTTTCCAAAGCAATTTTTTCATTTTCCATTCCTCCCACAGTCTATCAGAGTTCTCCCTCCACATCCTTGCCACCTTTTGGTATGGTCAGTCTTTTTAATTGCAGTTATTCTAATACGTGTGTAGCAGTATATCATTGTAGTTTTGATAATATTCATTTCCCTAATGACTAATGATGTTGAGCATCTTTTCTTTTGCTTATTTTCCATCTGTATATCTTCTCTGGTGCCCTTTTTTCTTTTGGCTGAGGATTCACCCTGAGCTAACATCCATCGCTAATCTTCCTCTTTTTTTGCTTGAGGAAGATTAGCCCTGAGCTAAAATCTGTGCCAATCCTCCTCTATTTTTCTGTATGTGAGACACCGCCACAGTGTAGCTGATGAGTGGGGTAGGTCTGTGCCCTGGATCTGGATCTGGATCTGAACCCGTGAACCTGGGCCACCGAAGTGGAGCATGTGGAACTTTAACCACTCTGCCACGGGCCCATTTTTTAATTGGATTGTTTTCTTATTATTGAGTTTTGGGAGTTCTTTATATAGCCTGGATAGAAGTGTTTTTTAGATACATGCCTTGCAAGTATTTTCTTCCCAATCTATGGCTTGTCTTTTTTTTTTCTTTCTTTAAATAGACTATTTTTTTAGAACAGTTTTAGATTTACAGAAAAATTGAGCAGATAGTTCAGAGAGTTCCCATATAGCCTACATCCAGGCTCCCCTATTAATAACGTCTTATATTAGTATGGTATATTTGTTATAATTAATGAGGTAGTATTGATACGTGATTATTAACTAAATCCCATTGTTTATTCAGATTTCCTAAGCTTTTACTGAATGTCTTCTTTCTCTCCCAGGATTCCATCCTGGACAGTGTATTCTATTCAGTTGTCATGTATCTATATGCTTCTCTTGTTGTGATAATTTCCCATACTTTTCCTTGTTTTTGACAACCTTGACAGTTTTGAGGAGTGTGGGTGAGATATTTTGTAAGCTGTCCCTCTATTGGAATTTAATGTTTTTCTCATGTTTAAACTGGGTTATGGGTTTTTGGGAGGAATGTCACAGAGAGAAAGTGCCATTTACATTACATCATATCAAGGGTACATGCTATTAATAGGATTTATGACTTCATGTTGACCTTGATCACCTGGTTGAGGTAGCGTTTGTCAGATGTCTCCGCTGTGAAGTTGCTCCTTATTTCTCCTTTTTCCATACTGTACACTGCGGAAGGAAGTCACTATGTGCACTCCATATATAAGGAACGGCAAGTTGTGTTCCCCCTCCTTGGGGTCAGAGTATCTATAGAAATCATTTGGAATTCTCCTGCAGATTTGCTTCTACTCTCCTATTTATTAATTTATTTAATCATTTATTTATATACTATGGACTCATGGATATTTTGTACTTTGGCCAACTGGGAGCTCTTTCAGTTGGCTCCTGTGTCCATCTGACATAGCCTCTATTAATGGGGGTAGAATTGATTGATTTTTTTATTTCCTTGACTTTCTGGTAATACAAGATGTTCATGCTCATCCTGTCTGTTTCCTGCCCAGTGCTAGAGTCAGCCATTTCTCCAAGACGCCCTGCTTCCTTTTATTGAAGAAGAGTGTTGGAAAGCAATCTGGGTGTGCTTACTGCTATTGGGGTGTTCTTTCTTTTAGGCCCTCTCACCCGACAGAACAAAGAAATATATGCCTGTAAACTAACCTCTGTATAGATACATATCTATAAGTACTTTTTATAAAATCATTTGTATCCATATTAAGTTCCACACGAGTTGATCCTCGTCCCCAACTCTAACCCATTGCTACATGGATATTCTAGCCTATTACCCCTCCTCATCTGTAATTTCACATTCCAGCAGTGGGAAACTTGACTCCTACCATCCACTATCTTTTGACTAATTGTTCAAGTCCAGTATGCATGTGTGTGCATATATATATATGATCATATATATACGTGTATATAGCAGTATCCACATCGTTAATCTTTACCCCTGTGGTACGGATGTGGGAAACAACTTTATTTACAGTTCCTTTTGGTTTTAGTTTTACAGACTCCGCTCATTTCCAAAGTTGCTTAGGTCAGTACCTTTTTCCTCCACTCCCTCAGTGAGGTGGTTTTATACATTTATAGTACAGTTAGGTTTTTTCCCCTAGTCTGTATTCTTTGCAGGGATCCCCTCACTTCCTAAATGATTTTTGAATTTGCATACATTAAGGTTCACTCTTTGTGTTGATCAGTTCTGATCTTTGACAAATGCCTGATGTCATGTATCCACTGTACAGAATATTTCAACACCCTAAAAATCCCCTATGTTTTACCTATGCGTCCCTCTCCACTTTCCTCTGAACTCCAGACAGCCAGTGATTTTTCTTAATGTCTTTATAGTTTTGCCTTTTCCAGAATGTCATATAATTGGGATCCTACTGGATGTAGTCTTTTTAGACTGAATTTATCAAACAAGAGTTTGCTCCCTGATGTGCACTGAACCCAATACTATAGCACTGGCTTTTGAGGGAACGAGCTTTATTGCATGGCAGACCAGCAAGGAGACAGGAAGCAAGGCTCAAATCTGTCTTCCCTAGCTGAAGTGGGGACAGACTTAAGGAGTTGGGAGTGGAAGTGGTTATACAAAATATTAGCATCGCGGAACCTGATTGGAGGGTGGGAGTGTAACAGTCATGTAAGTCCCGTGTGCTACAAATCAAGGGACCCTTCACTTCTTATTAGGTTCTCTGTGCTGCTTTCTCTTTATATCAAGTTCTACAGTTAGGGAACTTTTGGTTCCTAGGGGGCTTGAGGTCATCTGAGGACAAGGTTTCCATCTTCTGAGCATGCTGCTGCTACATGATTTGTAGTTTTTGCTCATTGCCCCTGCAAGGTAACTTTGATATTTCATTATTGATGCAATAGGATACGATAGGGCCAGTATGAATTGGTCTATGATGGTTATAGCCTCTTTCACTTAGCAATATACATTTAGGGTTCTTTCATGCCTTTTTGTGGCTTGATAACTCATTTCTTTTTTATCTTTGAATAATATTTCCTTATATAGATGTACCACAGTTTGTGTATCCATTCACCTATTGAAGGAAATTGGTTGTTTCCACTTCTTGGCAATTATGAATAAAGCTGCAGTAAACATTCACAGGCAGGTTTTTATTTGGACACAAATTTTCAAAGGAACTGAGTAAGACCCAGGAGTGTGATTGCTGGATGGTATTGTGTGACTATGTTTAACTTTGTAAGAAACTGCCAAACTTTTTCAAAGTGGCTGTACCACTTTGCATTTCTCTCTTATTTTAATTGTGGCAAAAACATAACAAAATCTACCCTTTTAACAAATTGTTAAGTGTGCAGTACAGCAGTGTTAACTCTGTGCACACTGTTAAGCAGCTGGTCTCCACAACCTTTTCATTTTGTATGACTGAAACTCTACCCATTGAACAGAAACTCCCTATTTCTGCCTTCCCCAGCCCCTGGCAATCACCACTCTGCTTTTTGCTTTATGAGTTTGACTACTTTAGATAGTTCATATAAGTGGAATTGTGCAGTATTTGTCCTTCTGTGACTAACTTATTTCAGTTAACCATAATGTCCTCAAGGTTCATCAATGTTTTAACATATGACAGGATTTCCTTCCCTTTTTAGGGCTGAATAATATTCCATTGTATGTATGTACCACATTTTCTTTATCCATTAATCTGTCAAAGGCGATATAAGTTGTTTCTACCTCTTGGCCATTGTGACTAATGCTGCATAGGAGTGTAAAACCTCTTCAAGATCCCATTTTCAGTTCTTTTGGATAAATACCTGGAAGTGAGACTGCTGGATCATATGGTAGTTGTATTTTTAATTTTTTGAGGAACCTCCATACTGTTTTCCATAGTGCCTATACCACTTTACATTCCTGTCAACAGTGCACAAGGGTTCCAATTTCTCCATATCCTTGGCTGATACTAGTGACAACACAGATAAACTGTGTGCACAAACACTTTCCCAGGTGTTGGAAGGAGAACCTCCTTGCATGCCAGCATATGACAAACCCTTTTAAGAGTGACATTTCTGACCCTCTCTTACCCAGTTCTAGCCAGGCGCTTTCATATTCACTTTATAGTTATTGTGAATGTGTGACTATGCTGGTTTGCCTTGCTCTCATTTACTTTGTTGGTCTTCCCGTCTAAATTGTAATTTTCTCCAAGGCTGAGAAGAGAAGATGTGTTTGATATCTTTATCTTTGTCTTTTCCCATTGCTCTTGCATTCCTGTATTTAGGAAGATGTTGGCTGCTAACCTTACATTAGCTTCTTATTGTCTATAATCCTTATAGAAAATTGTAAGTATGCTACTTATATATTTGTTTCTTTTTTAATTTAAACAAAATTGGGTGGCCATTTATATCTCCCAATGTATAACACAGTCTTCTGGAATAGTAGCCCATGTAGGATGTCTCAGGGATCACTGTTAGCTCTGCAGGCCAAGACTCTGCTGATAGAGGGCTGATTCCCAGCTATTTTGCTGGATGGATGTGAAAGTTGTCCCTAGGCTGAAATTTAGACTTTTATTGAAAAGCTATTCTAACCGCCAATTAATGGATAAATGAGCTTCACACCTTTATTCTGTTCATTATTTTATTGTCAACATATTCTTTCTGAAGGGAGAGAATGAGTACGGAAGTTGGAGGTCTTCAAATTAGGAAAAACTGACAAATAGGCCAACTCTAATATTTATATTTACAGTGGAGATTAAAAAAAAAATCGACATAATGCACCTCACAAATGGATGCTATTAAAGTCCGTTTTAGGCATCATTTTTAAATACAAGGAGACTTCACTTCTTTTTTTCCTAATATATAAATGTTCCATACGTTCAAATGTTTGTAAGGCGTGTTATCTTAAAGAATATTTTTTAAAAAAATCAAAATGGTACAGAAATAAGCTCTTGGAAAAGTGCTGGTATTTTTTTCTCCAATTGCTGGGTAATACTGCAAAGAATTTCTTCCAAATAAAGGGATTTAGCTTTGTATTAAATTTTACAATAAAAGCTCTCAAATAATAGAGTCAGAATTCTAAACGTTTTTAAAGATTATAAAAAGATATGCCTGAAATCTTGCATGTTTTTAAACATTGTACAAAGTAAGCTTTTTATATGTAGGCATTTTTAATAAAAAAGGTTTTATTTATGTTTTAGGAATAAACAAGCTAACATAAATTGTACATATTTACAGCAATAAACTACATTTCAGAAGCTGCACACGGCTTTTGTAAGTATAGCTGATGATTTTTGACACCAGCCTTCAAATGTTTTCTTTCATTTGCTGCAACATTTAAAATCTTGTAGTACCAAAGCAAAAAAAACAGCGACCTACTTTATAGCACAGCCACACTATTAACAAAAATACTGAGTGAACTACAGTCCTCTGACGGCTAGGGTATCTGTGAGTCCTGAAGTCGAGAGCACAAGCATTTCTTGTGTCCATACCTGATTGCATGTAAGTTGATTTTGCATTTTACAAGAATATACGATTACTCAATGAATGATTAAGAATAGAAAAAAGGCCATGAAGATCAAAGGGTCAGGAATCGGAGGACGCCAAATAGTTTCCTATTCACTGATTCTCTGCTTAGAGTGAAATCTGTTTCTTCTTTCATGTGTATAGCTCACAGTCTATAGGTTTCATGGATTTTGTCCACAGATAGTCTTTGAGATAGTGAAGGCATGACATCTCATATGTTAAGCACGTAAAAAGGAATTAATGAAATGGCTAGAATATTTTAATCAAATCCCTAACAAAGAATACAATCAAACACCCTGTATGAAAGTTTGATTTCAGATGTAAAGAGAAGCTACAGAAAATCACAGATGTCATCAGACAGAATAGCAGTTTCAATCAGAAAATGCAGCATATATTGATACAAAATAGAAACTTGAATTATAAAAGTAAGGAGTCCACCTTTCCTTTCTTTGCATTTTTTAAACCTGTCCCTTTTCATGAAAATTTCTATAGGTTTCCAGGAATACTAATTCTTGCCATTTGGCTTTTTCAGTGGTCTGGTAGGTGTACAAAAGCATTATCTGCTTATGTAAGAAAGCAAATGCTTGTGTCAAAAAAGCAAAAGAACATTAAAATATTGTAACTTTTTTTTTTTTGCAATTAAAGGAGTTCTGCCTGCTAAAAAATAAAGAGGGAGAAAGGGATTATTTTATTTACAAGAACTGTGTAATACCAATCAGGATAAGAATTAGCTACAATTATGCTTGGTAGGAGGGTAGATAGACCATTCAGCAAATTGATTAGAGGAGATTTAAAAACACAAGGAATAAAAACATTCAAAAAGCTTAATGGATTTTGAGAGGCAACAGAAGGCATGAATTTCTTTCTGTATATATATATAGCACCTGCTTTTGAAAGCCCCAGCTATAGTACAGTGTGCTATGAATTAACATGGTGGGAGACTGATTTGGAAAGTTTAGCTAATTTTGGGGTTCAATCAAGTTTTAGGTGAGGTGGTAGCCAAAGAGGTGTTCCATTACTGGCAAGATAGTAATTTTCCTATTCTTTAGCCTAATGAGTCCTGCTTTCCCAAACCTGAATCTCTGTATAAAGATCTTTGCCTCAGGTTGAGTCTCCTTGGGGAAAGTCAAAAGGAGTGAAATAATTATTCAGAGATGATGGACAGCCAAGAGAATTTTTCAAGCAAGCCATCCTCAGCCCAGATGCATTTCTCTCAAAAACAGTTTTATTTATACTTAAACAATATTAAAGTTTCCAATTTACATTTCTTAACCATTTAAATGACACAACAACATTATTTCACATTAGCCATTAGGTTCCTATCACAATGGCACAAAATGCTGCCTGGTGGTCAAAAATAAAAAGCTTATTTAAAGATGTCAAAAAATTTTTGGTCCTTGTAAACATATCATTTGGAATTTCCAAAAACCTCATGCAATCTTGACTTTGTAATAATGCCACATGATAGTTTTTATCAAGAGGGTATTGGCCCCTCTAAAGTAAGGAGTTGAGCAACACAGTCAAGAAATATATGCATATCGAGTCACGAGCATTCCCTACTTAGAAGAGTAGTGGATGTTCTGAATATGAAATATCACTTGGATATATAATTCTGTTTTTCATGACACTGTGGTGATTGGAATAATCAATTGGCTTCCCTAAAAATGTGTCAGGGGCACTGTTGCAAAATATAAAATATTTCAAGCTTTATCCAGTGAGTATTTCAAAAAGACGTAAGAAACAGATTAACATGCGTTGATTAGCTTAAATAAAGAAAAAGCAGATACACTGCAATTCAAAGTATTTGCGGGAGTATCAAGTAGAAAAATATGTTGTCTAGTAAAACGGGTGGCTGGCTGCCACTCTGAGGTAAGGCTTGCAAATGATATATTTCTTTTATGCAAGTATGTAAATAATATACATAACAGGAGAAGAGGAAAGTTAATTGAAATGAGGGGGGCAGAAAAGGTATTTCTCTGTACATCTATTTTATGCAGTCTAGAGGAACAGTGGTGAATGTCAAGAACTGCCCATACCCCTTAGATAGTTCTAAACTTTCTATTTATTTCTTGGCAGAAATGAAATTTGGATGCAATACTCTCTGGGAGTATTCTCTGAGAATTCACATTGGAGTGTCCTGAATATGCAGTGCAGTCCCACCTTCAAGAATAAACATCCCACAGAACCTAGATTCAAAAGGCTTTTAGTAAGGCAAAGGTGGGTAAATGGGAAAAATAAAACTTAAATGAAAAACTTCGTTTTTCCATAAAGGAAAAGCAGTAGTAACTACCATGGAAAGTTCAATTCTGCCAGAACTGGTGGAATCTAGAATGATGGTATTAGGATTCAGTCTGTTTAGCTATGAGCAAAGGAAAAAAAATCTCAACGACCACTTTGCACAGACCCCAACCTGGGTTCAACTGTAAATTTGCATTTTTTAAATCCACTTAAAGGTTGTAGACATAGGCTCTACGGGACTAAAATAACTTGGGAGAGGTTTTCTGGGAGCACCTGCCTCACAAGATATTATCTGTAATCCTGAAGTATTGCCTGTTACGGAAATGTGTTTCTCAATTGCTTCATTTACCAATGTAGGTCATTTAATCAGCATTTACAGACTCACTACCATGGACAGAACAAGGGATGCTTTGGGCAATACAAGAGAATCAGAAAATGGGGCGTTTACCCTTAAAGATCTTACTCTTTATTTAGAGAGGCAAAATATCTGTTTGCGAAACTGCTGGAAAATACAAAAATGAAATAACTATTACTATTGGACAAAATGGTCATAGGAATTGAGGCAGTGCTAGCAGGAGAGTGAACAGAATGAACAAAAGTTGCTCATGGATGGCTTTTTGGATGATATTGGCCTGATTCCTAATTCACCATTGGGAAGGGCTAGGAAGAGGAAAATCTGGGCAGCAGAAATAAAATGTAAAATTTCAAGTACAGCAACGAGAACCTTCAGGGATGATGTGTGGCTGTTGCAGTGGCAGGGTAGGAAAGGCCTGAGGATGAGCTGGCTTGAGGTTGAGTAAGGGGAACCATAAGAAATAAGTGAGCCTGAGTGGTGGAAAAGACTGAGGTCACACTTAATAAATGATTCCATAGGGAGCCAAGACATATATTTTCTCCAAGATGTTAATATTAACTTATTGATATTTCCCATATCCTGTAGGTATGGGAATTATGAGATGCCATAATTAGTGTGACTACGTAATTTATTATCTCAATGGACGGTTTTGAGAGCAAAAGGTGGCTCTATTGATAATTACACACTGGGACTGTCTTGGGCAAACTAGGGCTTATGGTCCCCTATCAATAATGTTATCCAGAAAGAACTGGGGCACACTTCAGGCTATTCGGTTGTTGCACAAGCTATTCCTTCTACACCTTCCCTTGTGAGAAAAATGAAAGGCTTTTGTGTAGGAGATGGGGAGGGTGGAGAAGAGGGGTAAAAAAGAACAGGAGTGGTTACTGGACGTAGTAACTAGCTGTTGCGGGTGGAAATTCTTCTCTTTCCTCCTACTCTCCACTCATCTTTGAACTACCTGAAACCTAGATCATCAAGGTAAAAAGGATTAAATCTAGGCAGTGTAGTCGAGTGGAAAAAGCTTTCCCTTTGGAGCCAAGAAAAGCTCAGGTTGAATACTAACTCTATCACTAACTAGTTATCAGATCTTGGGTAAATCATTAACCTATTTGAGCCTCGATTTCCAAATATTGGTATTGTCATCATAACTTCATGGGGTTGTAGTGAAGATCAAATCGTGAAATTATGTGTGGGAAGTGTTTCCTGCCTTACATCCATGTGTGACAGTCATTCTTGGGTGTCTCTCCAAAAGCCATGTTTCCTTCTTTTTGTTCACATATCCTCCCTCTTTTTCTTCAGTTATTGGGCAGCTCTGGGGTGGGGGGAGGGTCAATGTTGTAAGCCAGTCATGACAATTCCATTCCTCTTCTCAGTGACTGGTTCAGGAATGGATATGTAATCCAACCCTGGCCGATGGGACAAAAGAGAAGACTGCTAGGGGAGTTTTGTTGCTCTTAAAAAGAGACCCAAGGCAGGACTTTCCTTTCTTCTGCCAGGTGGTATGTGTGCATGAGTGTAGCCAGTTTGCAACCACAATGGGTGCTGAGAACGTGAAGAGTTAGGAAGAACTGGTTATGGAAGGGAGGGGGTCCTGGATGACATCATCGTGCTATTGAAATAATTAACCCAGTAGCCACCCTACTTCTGAACCTACTGTTATACGAGAGAATAACATTTTGATTGTTAAGGTTACTTTCAGTTGCATCTTTTGTTACTTAGATCTGAATGAATCCTAATTGATATACATATTGTAAGTATTATTCTCAACTTGGTGAGAATTTAAAGACTTAGGATTGCTTCCTCTGTCTTTAAAAAGATGACATTAAATATGAAACTATCTCTAGGTAAAAAGGATGGGAAACCAGAAAAAGGAAACTATTAACTCCCTACTTTAAGAGGAGTGATGAGTACACCTGCTCATCAGAAGGTTGGAACAATAGTTTTTGGTAGGTTGTATGAGGTTGAGGGGCAGAACATTTGGCTCACTTTGTTAAAAAAAGGCAGCCCTATTCATAGATTGGCCTATGATGGGAGGGAGAAATTCCTAGGCACTCTTCTAACAATTGTGAATGGTCAGGGGGCTCTCGAGAATCATGAGAATTTAGAGTTGGAAGGTGTCTTTTAAAAAAGGAAAAATGTTAAGAACATCTGTGTGCAGGAATCGCATTGGGGATCATGTTCAGAGATTGGAATGGGGAGGATGCATGCTTTAGAAATATGAATAGTTAGAAATGTTAATAAGTAATCTTGCAGTTTTTTCATGGCTGTGCCTAAAACATTTGGCAGATTTAACCAGTTTAAGTGGCAGAAGGAAGGAGCTGGAGGAAGTGGGCTGGGAGAACGGATAACAGAGGTCCTAAAGACCTGGAATCTTTTCCAACTAGATAGGAGGCTGCCTCTTGCCTGAGAGCTCAAGCCTATCTGCGACTCCACTTCCAGAACACAAGACAGTGATGGAGTCCAGGAGTGGGGAGGACTACTGACGGACACTGCAACAGCTTTTCTGCTCTGATGCTGCCTCGAAGGTGGCTTTTCCACTCAAGAGGGGTGTTTCGTGGCTTTTCCTGACTGAATTAACAGAATGGTCTAAGGGATCTGCATCTTCCAGAGATCTGCAGATAGACACCACATTGTTTTCTGTTCTCTGAGACTCTCCAGTGCTCTTACAGGGAAATATTGTAGTAAAGACCATTACTAAAATCGTAAAATAATTTTTTTTACACTTGTCTGCAGATTTAACTGTATGTTCTCTATATTTTTTAAAGGAATATGAACAGGTATTGAATTCAATTCACTTGACACCACATGGCTTACTCCGATGGCTTTACTCTCAAAGACATGCAACAGGGAATATTACTAAATTTGTGTGGCTATGTTAGCAGAGGACATGGTGCCCCTGTATCTTTGTAATCTCCCATACAAATACACCTTTCTAAAATTCCTTTTAAAATTTAGTTCTGGAAGGGAACTTGGAGGTCATCTGGTGGTCCAAAGTCACACAACTGGGCAGGGCTGGAGACAGCATAAGAGCCATGTCATGTAATCCTAACTCCACGGTGTCTTCTGTCCACCATAATTTTCCTCTCCCCACCATGCAGCTCGTTTATTATTAACTTTGTAGGGTTAGGCTGCACATTGCTTGGCTTTAGAACTCTTTGTTTTCCAAGTCTATAGAAATGCTGTCTGGAGGAGAAAGATATCTACGTATTTTATAGGGGCAATTTAGACAGTTTGTACTAAGACTTGTCCAATTACTAACCATATGTAACGTCCGCTAGAAGGCTGAGGGCAGTAGGTAGGGTGATGATGCATAGAAGTGGAAATCCATAATAGGAGTCAGATACAGAAAGGATGAAGTGGATCCAGTTCCTAGAGGACAGTCTGTAACTAGTGATGTGCTACATGAATGACAAGCCATTCTGAGAGGAATAATAATAGATTTTTAAATGGTTTATAATTAAGACTGAAAGAGGGCATGAATAAACAAGTTTGATGAAAAAGAATTGATGCAATGTGAACTCACAGTATTACATCTACATTATAACGTAAGGAGATGGTCTTATCATCAAACTTTGGTGTAGAGAGTGTAAGTTTTCCTAGGTTTGAGCTAATGCTTTTTATTTCCACTTTATTTTGAATTAGGCTGGCAGAGAGAATGTTTATGTAAACACATGTACTCTTTACATAAGGGACAGGAGAGCAGGAAAGAAAAATAATCCAAGGCACTTCAGAGGAGGCTACTGTGATTTATACAAACTACCTCCAAAGGCCTTTTAAGGGCAATAGGAGTAGGGATTTGGGGAAATTATTAAGATTCCTTGTTTTTGTGGATTCAGTTGAAGATATGCAGTATAGGTCCAAAGAAGCTGAAGTTTTCACCTATTCATGGGCAAGATATCTTATGAAGTTTGGAAATGAGAAAGTGGAAAAATAGATGAAGTGATTTCATTGGGTTAAGGCATGAGGCAGGATCGTATGTGGTGCTGGAAAGGAAGGAACACAAGAGAGGTCAGCTATTTTACACAGCCAAAGCTGCAAAATGCACACACAGATCATATTTTGATAATTTTCACCTATAAAAAATTATACTGGAAAACGTCCCCTCTTCCCTGTTTCTCTTCAAAAGGAAGCTCAGGGAGAAGTAGAAGCCAGCCAGGTAGCAAAACTGATTGCTTTTATTTATCCTTTGGCTTTCAATTGGGGCTGTTTTAAGCTAGTGAATCTGTAACCCTGTGTACCTAAGGCAAATGCATAATGTTATTTGGCCTCTCTTTTATTGATTTATTTTTCTATTGTCTATAGGACAGGAAATGCAGGTAGAGTCACTCATGAGAATGCTTTGCTTTCCCAACTGGTTCAAAAGAAATACACCTACTTTTCCCACATTGAGTTCCTGCTGAAGCCTTTGCCATGAGTGCTGGTTACTCCAGGATGTGCAAGGTATCTAGGGGCCAATCAGGAATGGTTGTGAGTCCACTGATTTACCAAGGACTTTTTTAATTAGGAAAAACAAAACAAACAACAGTTACACCTCTTCAGTTTAAATACGGAAATTCGGGGAGAAGTGAAAACAAACTCTAAACTCTTTATGCTTATCCTTCCAGGAACTTTGTGTTTTCTGGTTTGCAATTCTTCCATTAAAAAGGATTTGTTTTCAAATGTTTGCTTATGAAGTTGCAGCCTCTAACAGTTAAGTTTTCTGTCAATTTAGCTGATTTCTGTTATCTAGAAAAAGCATGATTAAAATAAAAGCACAATGTGTTCTGGACCTAGAAGTTGACTGACCTGATTAGTTCCAATAGGGCATTTATCTTATTCAATTAATGGTGGACCCTAGTTGGCACATTTTAGAGCCAAAATGTCTCACAAGGTCGGCTCCCTGCACTCTCCTGGCACAAAAAGCCCGGCCTTACTAAGCTCTTATCTCCAAGAAAGCCATTGTTCACTGTAAAATATTACTAAGCAGCCAAGCTATGTCCCTGCTTGTTTGGATATCCTGAATTTCTGTAGACACCATCACCCTCTCTGGGACTGCCAGTTTTCATGGAAACACATCTTGTGGCGTAATATCCCACCATTCTGAGGAGTTTTTCAAGAACACTAGGACTTGGGAGAAACATATTTTAGAAGAGTTAATTCTCTTTTAAGTTTAGGAAATATCAAACATATCCTGACCCCCTGTTGAAAAATACTTGTTTTAATTCCCAGTCCACTTTTACCAATATTTCTCTTTATCTTTTAAAAATAGTGACATGGTTACCTCTGGATCTTTCAGGGATGAATCAGCCAGTTGGTGTTATCAATGTCATTTCCTATCTCTTCCTTTTCTTCTTCCCATCATTTGGACATTTGACTGTTTGTTTACCCTGATCAAACCCATCCATCTACTTCTATTTTTTATTGGAAGTTCTGGGAAACACTGTGAAAGGAAAAAATGTAGAAGCTATAGCTATTGGTGTAAATGAAGCTTTGTGTTACCTGTGGATTTTGATCATCTCTTCCATTCCTGACCCCCTCAACAGCATGGACAATTCAGTATCTGAATATATGAATAGCCACGAATGACTGATAAAAACACCTCTACTTTTCATGACACAATTCCAGGAGCAGCTCGCTACAGTTCCTGTCTCTGCTGGTGCGCTGTTCCTGAGCCCCACAACTGTGCAGCCTTCTTGGCAGCTACTGTCCCTTTCAGTGGGGTTGGGCGTGAGGCAGGGATCACAGACACCTGGCAGAGTTACACAACTGCATACACAAAATGGCAGAAAAAGAGCAAGACCTAAAAAGATTCTGGTTTGGGCCCAAATCACTAGTCATTTCACTTTATGAATAAAAGCAAGTGCCTTATAAGCTTACATTATTTACAATGCTCAGAGTTTTCAAACATCCACCCAAAGTTGAGGACCACCACATAACAGGGAACAGTTCAATGAGCTATGTACAAAATTTACAAGGAAGTTTACACAATATTCTACATTCTCTTAACAAGTTTACCTTTGTATTTAGTTTGCTTTCATGAAACTGAGATATTTTTGTTTGTTTTTCTGTCCTCATCCCAGTAACTTCTGATTGGACCAGCATGAACAAATGCTTTCACGTTCCTTTTTCCTCCCTCCTGGGATATATAATTACACTTTGTTTAGGAAAAAAAATTGTGGTACATCACCCTTTGGTAAGATACTATTCAAAATTGTCCATATAAGAAATCTTGGAGATTGTTTCCTTCTAGCATTATAAATATATCTTTTTTGTTTAACTTGACAAATTTTAATTGAGCTCTTTCTTAAATGAATATTTATAAAGTAGTCATTGATTTTAGAAAGATGGAATTTAGTCAATATTTCTGTGTATTGTACATAATGTTTGTTTAAGGAAAGCCTATCCTTGGATCCATAAACCAAACTTTATTCTCTGCACCACATTTTCTCTTTGCATTTTCAAGATCTTTCATTGATTGTAAAGCACAATAAAGATGGTATATGTGAAAACACATATCATTTAGTCAGCAGAATTACCAACCAGTCTGCTGTTTCTATTTGGCAATGTGGAGGAAGGAGGCAATAATCATGGATAATTCAAGCCAAAGATATGTCTTTACCTGGTTCTTTGCCTCACAAAGCTGGTAAGTGTAATGTACATGTTACCCCTGATATGTTAAGCCAAGGAACATGAATGGAAGGAATGAGTGAGTAGTCATCACTGTTAAATGAAAGATGGATTTCTGCGGCATCTACGGAGGTTAAGTCCATGACACAGTTTATGTCACAGTTTATGAACTGTGAACATGGGGGCCCCTGGACATGACTGTGGCATAAGAGAGCGAGTCCATGCGATTTTTCAGCCTCTGCTGCCACTGCAGTAATATAGGAGATTATGGCTATTTTCATGGCAAAAAGAAAACAACTCAATAATAGTTAAATAGTAACCCTCCATAATGTAATGATCTGAATCTTTCAGGAATGGGGCAGTTTGGGGGCACTTAAGAATGTCTAACAACTGTTATGTTTTACGTACATCATTTTGGGCAAGACAAGGGAGGAGGCAGAAAAGAAAGATTTTTTTTCCATGCACTGGTCAGCCTGGAAGGAGGGGGGTGGGGACAAAGAGGGGAGGATTTGGCTAGGAGGTGTCCAGGAGAAGGGAGTGGGGACAGAGGTTATTAACCAGAAATATGGTAACATTTCCATTTTTCTGGCTGCCATTGCCTCTAAAATCAGAACTATTTAACAGGATTTGCATAATGGTGGCTGTGACCCTCTCCATGCAAAAAGTCATACAGTCACACTATTTTGTGCCTGATGGTAGATTCAGGCTTACCAATTTTACATTTTACAAAGGTTAAGATATAAGAATTAAAAATGTCCTTTTTTTTCCTCGGAGATGCTTTACGTCTAAAACTACAAGCATCAGATTCTTCAACTTTTAAGGCAAGATAAAAATAATAATAAAAATATAAATTACCTCAATCTTTTCCAAGTAGAATAATCTAAACAGATAAATAAAGAGAAATTTTGTTAAGGAACATGGATTACAGATACTTACTTTCTGATTTAGCACTCACTCTTAAAAGCTTTTTAAAGAGCTTTGACATCAGAACGATTCATTCCTGCGAGGTATCAGCCAAAAGTCTCCCTTCCTGTATTTAAAATAAATGGCTAGACAGTGGTTCCTGAGTGGTCACTGGTAATATTAACCTTACAATCATGGGTATGGCCACATTCCATGCTATTTGGGCATTTTATGACGGCAAAGCATCTCACCCTGCCAAGGAATTAATCAGAGTTTCAAAATGGATCACTTTATCGCTAGAGGCTGGAGACTTCTGTGACCAGGGAACTGTGATTATACAACTGAAAAACTAAATGAAAATTTGGTCTCCATACCCTAGTAATTTCTTATGAAACCTTGAGATGATTTTTCCAGGTAAAGCAGAGTTTTTATATTCTTACTAACGTATATTATCTATAGCATAAGCATTCATTTATTTTAGGGTTCTTTTTTCTTCTTGCTTTCTAAAAGAATATATCATAACTCTCTTTCCTTGGGCTCATCAGCAGGAATTCAGCCTTATCTCTCCAATTAAGACAATCATTCCTAGCAGCTCATGCTATTGTAAACACAGGCCCTCATCACAGCCTTGGAGAGAAAGCCAGATCATCAAATGAGGCAGTCATCCCTATTATTACCTCAACCCTTATTTCACATCCAAGGATCAGGTCCCAAGTCACCTCTATCACTGGTTGGTCAACTTAGGCTTTCGCTCAACCTTGCAAATGAACATATAGAATTCTTAGATACGTAGGCTGAAAAAAACCAATGAGGCTTAATGACACAAAATGGAAATCTCAACTGTAGCTAGTTGGACATGTTTAGAGTTGTGTGTTGGGCTCAGAAGGCTGCTCTTCTATGATGACCATGACCAACGTAATCCATGAGCAGAGATAAGGCAGAGCAGTAATGACAGCGATTGATGAGTGTAGGCAGGGTCTGTACTTTGGGGGCTGGTATAAATGTTTGAAGGCCCAGTGATTTTTGTCTTCATTGTTGCTATCTGTGGTTTTGCTGTTTTGAAGGTTTTTTTTAAATAGAAATCTGGCCTTGGAGGAGAATGATAACAACATGGGTGTGCATGCATGTCCTGAAGCATTCGTTTCATATTTTGGAACGCAGAGCTCAGAGAGCACAGCCATAAAGTGCTAGCTGAGGCCTGTACAACTAGCTGTCACCATTAGATACTGCTGTCTGGAAGGCTAAGAAATATATACTATTTGATTTAAGATTTGGCAGTTCAGGTAACTGCCCAGGCACCCTTTTCACAGCACATAAATCTTGCCTTCCTCATGGAAAGGGCAATATTTTTCTCAAGCAAAAATTGCTCACCACCCTCTTCTTTGAAGCCCACGTCCCCCACCCCCCTTTCCTCAATCTCTCTGGAGTAGGAACCAAGGAAATGTGATGACATGGCTTCATGGCACAGTGGCAAGTGATTCCAGGCTAATAAGCAAGTTCAGGGCTGTTCATTTGAAAGAAGTAATTACAAAAATGGTCATTGCCCCCCAAATTCCTATTCTCAACAAGAAAAGAACAATGTTCTCAGTGGCCACCAGGTTGGATTCTAATGTTAATTTTAAATCTGCCCGGGAGTCTGAAAAAGGAGCATTTTTCAGAATTTCTAGCTTACTGGTGAGGTGAAGATGGCAGATTCAGTTTGTGTAATCTGGATCAGCGCGTGCCAGTCTCTCTCGCCTCTTCCACAGAGCTGAGACCCCGCCTACCAGGGAGTTAGGGGAACTTGAGGGTGGACGGGAGTCCTCCTTTTCTAGGCTTCTTTTTGTTTTCCCTTCTTCCTGGAAATCTGTAACTTGTCAATGGCTTTGTTTTGTCTTCTGAGATCCTGGAAATTGTGTTGTTTTTTTGGCAGCATGAGATTGTTACGGTTTACCAGGAAGCAGTGCACACAGAGAGATAGGTCCCCTTTTCATTCTCATGAGAAAAATAAATCACTAAAATCCAGGGCAACTAGGAAGGACTGCTAAAGATCTACCTATCTAACTTCTCTTTGTGTGTGTGTGTCTGTGTGTGTGTGTTTGTAAACATGGCAATTAATAGAGCTCTGAAAGAGCCGATAACCTGGACCACAGTAGACTGGAAAAAAATAGTGTTTTTGTTTTTTTGAAGTAAACATGGTGCAGTAATAAAATTGATATGCAAGACCTAAAACCAATTGGATGACTGAATCTCTTACCTCAAAAAACACAGCAGGATCGCTGCTGGGGACCTGGGGGGTTACAAATCATGAGAAGAGGAAAGTAGCCGTTTATGAACCATTAGGACAGACCTTAGTGAACATAGTAAAGCCAATAAACGACGTTAAAAAGAGAAAAGGTGATAGGGAAAAACATTCGGGACCACTTGTCTATGGAATTCACATCAGTCAAGTCGGGGATTTTGACTTTGAGCTGCGAGGCGCGCCTGCGGATGCGCCCCTTGCTGTGCGCGCCGTGCCGGTCCAGCGCGCGCCCGTATGCCTCGCGGCTGCTCAGAGGCTTCCGGTACTGGATGCTGGCGCTGTCGTACGAGTACATGGGGGCCTTGGGGTCAGTCATGCCCGTGAGCACTTCCGAGCCGCTCGTCTCGTTCCTGATTTCCAGGGTGCTGAGGAGAATGTTGCCGTGGGGGTCGACCTGACGGAAAAGAGACAGGCTCAGACACAACTGCCAGGACATTCACTTGTTTTCGTTAACGTGTAACTCATCACACTGCATGGGGCTCATTAAACACTGTCTCGCTAGGCATCTGGCTCTACATGCCTCCAGGACTTGGAGATTACTCTCTTTCTCTCTCTATTTATCTATCTATCATCTTTCTAATCTACTATCTATCCATCATCTATCTAATCTGCTATCATCTCTCTTTTAATCTATCGTCTATCATCTATCTAGTCTACTATCTAATCTACTTTCTATCATGTATCAATCGGCGATCTAATCTATCAATCCATCTAATCTATTTATCTAACCTTTTATCTATCCATCCATCATTTCTCTCCATTCACAAAACACTAGTATGTGTATGTATGTATGTGTGTGTGTGCAGTGGTGTTTTGTGTGTAGACTATATATATATTACATATTATTTTTGTTAATAACTACCACTTATGGAATCCATATGTATACATAATTCACGTCCATATATATATACACATATTTTGTAACAAGAAAAAATGCCATATATGTATATGTATGACATTTTTCTTGTCATAAAAGTGGTACATGGAACATTTAAGACCAGAAACAAACAGGAAACGAAAAATAAAAAATAAAAATTCGTAATCTCACCTTCAGAATCCATTATTTGTAACATCTTCCTTGCCTTCCACTCTATTTTCTATTCATATATACTTACAAACACAGGCTCACGCAGTGTATTTTGCTTTGCAATCTGCTTTTGTCAGTTAATAGTATAGCCTGGTCATCTTTTCACGTTAGTAAATAATCCTCTTTGATATCATTTATTAATAGCTTATATCGATAAACCATAATTGAATTAATCTATTGTTAGATGTTAAGGCTTGCTTTACTTTTGTACTATTATATAAACAAGCTTGCAAGGAATATCTTTTAGCTAAATCTTTGTGCATATCCACAAATATTTCCTCAGGCTAAATTTCCATAAGTGGGATTCATGAATCAAAAGGATATGCCTGGCTATACTCTGACTTTTGCATCTTCACCATTGTTCACTGCTGCTTCCTGCCATTCCAGTGATAACCTATTCCAGATTTCCTGATTCTTCTCTATGCTATGCCCACAGACCGACTTCTGGAACTACAGAAAATGTGAGCACATTCGGCTTACAATGTGGCATTGTTTTTTTGTTTTTTATTATTTTTTTTGAGTAAGATTAGCTTTGAGCTGACATCTGCTGTCAATCCTCTTTTTGCTGAAGAAGACTGGCCCTAAGCTAACATCCGTGCCCATCTTCCACTACTTTATATGTGGGACGCCTGCCACAGCATGACTTACCAAACGGTGCCATGTCCACACCTGGATCCAAACCCGTGAATTCCAGCCACCGAGCAGAACATGGGAACTTAACTGCTGAGCCATGGGGCCGGCCCCCAATGTGGCATTGTTTAACTTCAAGCCGGTGTACTTTGCAAACTGATTTACCTGGAGGGGACCTGGCTCATTCATGTAAATGAGTTTGACATTTCTTCCAAGGGCAGCCCAGGCAGCTGTGTTTAAATCTAGCGTTATTAGCATACTGCCTGACTTACAGTAAGTGTTCCATAAATGCTTTTGAAAGAGATTAATCTCCATAAGCACTTGTGGAACGCCCAAGGTATAAGTAGCCAGTCAAAAGAACCAGGTGACTAAGAAAGAGAAGGAGAAGAGCATAAGAGAAGGCAAAGACAAAAAAGAGAGGAAGAACAGTACAGAGGGCGGATGTGATGCTGGTACATTACGGAGAGAGGACTAAGATTTATTGAGTGTCTGCCATGTGCCTAGCATTATGGTGGATGCTTTGTCTATATTACTTGAGTAATACAATAACAAAGTCCTCAAGTTTACTCCCATAGGAAGTGCCAGACCTGACATTACAACCCATGTCCTATTTGATTCAACGCTCATGTGCTTTTTCTGAGAAATCACCACTTCATAGTCCTTAGCTTTCACCACATCCACAGTGGATTTAGTGATGCAATTGATAGCTTTAAGCGTCAAGTTAACTGGAGAGAGAAGTGTTGACTGAATCTGGCGACTCTCTCTCTCCAGTCTCATCTATCATCATTTTCCCCTGTGAAGCATTTTGCTCTAGTCTAACTGAGCTACTCATTATGCTCTCACTGGCACATCTACTGGCTTCTTTATTCTGGGAGTTATTATTAATTTTTGTTGTTGTTAATAACTACTATTTATTGAATCCTACTGTGTAAATTATTTCAGTTATTTCTCATAACAACCTTGTGAAATATATATTATCCTAGTTCAGCAGATGGGGAAATGGAGGCTCAGAAAGCTTAAGTAAATTGCATAAGATTAAACAAAGATAAGTGCCCAATTTAGGATTAAAACACAGTATACTCTTGGTCTCAAATATAATTTTCCCTCTTCTTTGCATGTTAATCAATATTTTTTTTTCAAGGCTCAATTTAAATCCTACTTCCTCTGTGTGCCTGTGTACCTTCCCTGATCATGGTAACCTCAGGAACTTCCTCTCTCTCTCTCTCTTTTTCAACAAATATTTATTGAGTGCTTATTAGGTGCCAGATACAGTGCTAGGTGTCAAGGATGTGTGTGTATATAATAGAGTAAGTTTACTGTTTAAAAGATCATGCATATGAAAGTTTACATTATTACAGAGGATGGTAGCATTGAAGTGGCAAAGAACAAAGTGTTAAATTCATTAGAAAACAGAAAAATACATTAGATGACAAGGTGGTGCACATGATTTTGCTAGGTACTGTGGTGTTCCAGTCAAGAGAATCATAAAACATGGATTTTGTCCCTGATATAATAATCTGCTTAGAGATACAAGGATAAGACATAATTTTGGGAGTGACAGGAGTTTTTAACAAAATGCTAAACGGTACGGTATAGACCATGATTAGAGGTTCATAAAAGTGATAAATCATTGGGGGTCATGAAGGCTTCATGAAGGAGGTGCTGCTTGCAGTGGGTCTTAAAGGATGAGTAGAGGACAGAACAAAGGATTGGGAGTTGAAAACTATATTCTCACCCTGGTTTTATTATTAACTCAGTTTCTTCATCTATATATGAAAACTTTTCTCTAAATAATCTCAAGGGTTTGTTTCCAATTTTTGACAGTCATTATGGAGAATATTCCAGGCAGAGGACATAGCATACTAAAAAAATACTTGTAAAACTGAATCACTTGAGCTATACTGTATGCATCATTAAGTTGCATTATTATGAAATCTCTCTAAGTAAACAAGTTGCTAGAATTTAGGATCTGCCAGTGAAGCATGCAGATGCTCCTCATTAAACAGAAGTCACAGAAGTCATGGCAAATAAGGTACGTTTTATTAAGATGTTTTGGTTAACCTTGGTGCAGACTCAAATGCACTTGTAAATTGCATGAGGTTTATTAGTTTGTGCAAATCCCTCAAAATGTTCTGTCATTGAGCTAGAAATCATAGCTTTAAGTGGTTTGACATATAAAATAACGAATCCAATTCTGCAACGACCCATGAAATCTGATTTCACTACTGCAGAGTTAAATCAAAATTACCATGTCCTTTATTAGGAAAATTGAAGAAATGTCACATAACAGTTCTTGCCCATCTCCAGTCTTTCTTCTAAACAGCCTAGGACTTGTCCTAAAAGTTGGTCTTATAGACTCTGAGAGAGAGAGAGAGAAAGAGAGAGTGTGTGTGTATGTGACGGCGTGCTCCAGCATTTCTTCTGAGGTGTGAGACTTCATCCACCACCCTCCAAGCTTTTTGCTGCCCAGTAAGGTGGATGTGTGGTAGCCTCGCCACTGCTAACATTGGCAAGTTTCTGATTGGCTCCGCCCTAACTCCTTCTCCTCGGAGAAGAGTGCCTTTCCCTTCACCTCAACCATATAGGGACACCCAAGGTATCCTTATATCCACAGCTGGCACAGCTTTCCAAAAATAATATCCATGGAGTAGTGGCCATCAGTTTTTCACATCTTCAGAAGCAGCAAGGAGCCGTGTTGTGCATTGTTTCAACTTCTGCAATGGTCAGACGTTGTCTAGAAATATCAACATCTGAATTGGACACGATCCAGACATCAAAGATTTTAAAACCTTGAAGCAAAAGGAAGTGAGGCAAATGAAAATGTCAACACACTGGATTTCTAGGGCAGACACAGACTAACAGATTTCCTGAAGCACTGCTGATGTTGAAATAACTGTCCAGTGGGATAATCATTCCCCACTCCTCATGTTGCCATAATGGAAGGGACTTTCCACTCCAATCCCCAGGAGACAAGCTACCAGAGGAACACTTCCAGCTTCTTTTCTTTCTCCTCTTTCACTGCTCCCCAGTAACCTGTCTGATTGGTACATTTGGAAGAAGGAGGCAGGCATACTTGGCTCTGGGCCTTCTGGATTTTTCTCTCCCTCTGATCTGCTTCCAGAGAAGGTGCAATCCAGTTAGGTATGTGTCTGTTGAACCTGCTGCATTGGTGGGGCAGGCCTGCAATTGTTTGGTGGTTCCAGTGGTTGGGGAGCTAAGTCTATCTAATGTTGGGGAAAATGACTGCGTTATATTAACCACATATTCCTCAAACCAACATCACTGATTTTTTTTTTTTTTTAAGTTTAGAGCATATTGAACCTAAACTGAGAGGAAATGAATACAATTACTGTTAAGGCTTCAATACAATTACTATTAAGTTTTAATGTTTTACCGGACAAATACTGTGCCCTCTTTCAAACTCAGGTTATTAGTTCTCTTTCCAGCAACCTTTTTGAAGATTGCTCTCTTGTGACCTTGAGAACCACCTTCTCCTTACCTGCTGAGCCTTTCGCTCATCTTCCCTCCTGAGATCTCCCTGAGGCCTGCTCACCTAAGGCGAATCTTGGAGGGGCTCACATATAAAGAAAAGCCTGGGATTTCCCTGTATAGAGACCTGAGATGGGGAGAGACAATCCAGCTTCTGGCTGGTGAACCTTCTCCTTCCTTCCTGCAGG